TTCTAACAAACATCCATCCGTACATCAAAACATTCGCATTTATAGTACTCGTAACTTTTTTTTTCATTGGCAGTATCAAATTACAAATATTATATTTATTTTTGGGTCTTTTTACTTTTTGCTTTAAGAACACAAGTTCTACCTTCAATGAGGATTTACCTTCTATGTAAAATAGTAAATTACACCCAAATATCCACACATTTGATACAAAGTCGGCAATAACAATCCGTCAGTGTATGTGAAAATCAAGTGCGCTTGTGGAGAATACATTTTGTTGTCGGCAGGCTTGTCGCGCGATATCGGAGCAGTAAAGTGCGTCGCATACGGCTACCACGCCGTCCTAACTCCCGCCCGTGTGGTCACCGGACAATCACATATCTTATAGAGATGATATAACCAAATAAAAATATTTTATAATAAAATTAAAAATACTTCTTACACATCATAATCGTACTGTGGGACACAAATGCTACCACAGTACGATTAAAAAATCTACTAAGAAAATACTTGAAATAAAATAACTAACTTAGATGATTTTCGTACCACATCTGCCATCTACGCGTGATGATTCGTAAAAAGTGAAATTTTCTAAATCCAACGTCAAATAAGGCGTCAATAACCTATTATTCGACTATTTTCGTAAAACATGTCTTAGCATAAGCATAGAATTTAGTAACCCGCTAATATTTAAATAAAAAAAATACAAATATTAGTGCTCCTTCTTGTGGTTTATCTAATGTTTGAAATATTTAAGGTGGCAATAATAAGAAAAAAAGTAATAAATTATTACAATAATGTAAGTGCATAAACAACTCTATAGATATCTTAACAAACCAGGCAATTAAAACAAGGCAAGTGGACGTCGGCCATCTTAAATTTGCGCGGCTGTATTGCCAATATCTGAACGTGCACCTGTTTCTCTGTGAGCGTGCGTTACATATGAATCTAAGTATCAAATCGTTATAAAACGATATGGTGTGTCCATAAATACAATTCAATTTATTTTATTTATTTTAAATACTTAAACAACTATGAGTATGCCTAAAACTAAGGAATATTTATACTAAAAATTGTACTAAACGAATGCAACCGTTAATAAAAAAAACCTTGAGAAAATACTTGAAATATAATAACTAACTTATATAATTTTCGTAACATATTAGACGTAGAGATTTGTTAGTTGTTAATTTTCTAAATCAAGCTACTTTGGATTTTAATACAACAAATAGTTTACGCGTGTTATTTTTAAACAAAACTTACAGATTACAGAGATAGTATAAAAAGGTTGAATAATAAACATAATTACTATAAAAATATAAAATAAACATAACATTAATTATCACCCTTTATATGGAATATAATTACCATATAAAAGCTAATAATAACTAATGAATCGGTAATGATGCAAATATCGGAATTAAAATTAACAATAAAACGGTGATTAATTTGAAAAAGCGTCATATAACGCGGCATATCGCCTATTCGTAATAATTAAATGGGCACATTAAATTAGAATTGTGAGGGCAATGATTATTTATCATCAACGGAGTCAATAATATCGCAGTAGCGATGATAATAACTGCATTAAATGTGATTTAGAACCAACTATCTAGAGGTTATTGGACGTTTGTTATTGTCTACTATACAATAAGCATAATAGAAAATAAATTTGACCAATAATTGCTTGATGTTTTTGATGTCCATGGTTGACACTTCGGTGTTCTCATTGCTCGTTTGCTCCCTTACTTATAATTAAAAAAAATTAAAAGCAGTAAACTAATAAAATTATGCCATTATGTTAGATAAAAATTCAATCCCAAATATATTTATAACCAACGTAACCATGCAATAGCATAGTTATTTTCAGGTTGAATTCAGCGCAGCGAGAAATTATCGTTCGACGTTTAAACGGGCGTTATGAACGCGACTAAACCATAAAACTAGCGATTTCAAAAAGTGGCGCATAGAGAGACATAAATCAGTGGGCGAACTGATTACGGTCGCGACAGCCGGCACATCATAATGGGCGCGTAATGAGAGCCACCAAATTGCCTGCGTTTTGATTTAATGATACGATACAATGGCAATCAATACAATGCCTAAACACTCCGTTATACCAATGTTTTGATTAATTTTATGAAAATCATATCCAAATGTTTGTGTCTAAATCTACATTTTTGGTTACTTGTTTAGTCAAATATCTATTTAATAGGATAATGGAGCCAACGAATAACGGATTGCCTAAAATTATTTAATCCGAAGCCCATGGACATCCGCAACTCCAGAAGAATCACAGATGCGTTGCCAACCTTTAAAGGAAACGCTCTTTTCTAACCACTAAAAAGTGTGTGGTTATTGACTTGATTGAGATATTTCTAAATTTGAATCTTAGTCATACGTAACCTAAGATTCAAGTTCAAATACAATGAGAAAGAAAATTAGTTATGTATAACTTTATAAAAAAAATTAGGCAAACAGCCAAGATTATAAGTGGGATAAGAAATGTAACGCTCACCGCCAACTCTGAGACCGGACTTAAACAATAACAACATCCTGGAAGCACTTAAAGAAAACCGAAAACGCGTCCAACAATCCGTAACACAGTAAACCAATAAAGCACTGTTATAAATAAAAATAACTGCCCCAGTTATAAATAAACGGCAGCCGAGTAAAGTATATCACTAGACTCAGGGAGGCTTGTCACATCGCCTGAGTTATGGCGTCACACAACATAAAATATACAACAAAAACTGTTGTTCTTCCAACAGTTTTGCCCCATATTAAGAATGAGCGTAAACATAACGGCAATTTGGACTAAGGTGACTTTGGATTGAGAAGTCGCTATTGATACTAATTTTAATCCGTCTATTCAATAAAAACCTTTAAACACAGGATTTGTTTTTTAAAAAAAATACTAAGTTACAATTACTAATCTTTCAGTTTCATCCTATTAAGTTTATCTTGAAAAATAAAGTTTGGTGGCAACTGCATCTTTCAACAATTTCTGTTAACACCTTAAGACAATTATGTGTGACAAAAAACAATCAAATTTATGTAGAAATATAAACGCTTATATCACGAAGACGTTGTATTACAAAACAACATCGTCTCCACAGTAATCTCTGTGCTAAAGCCTTCGCCCGATTCAAGCCCAGTTCGCGCTGTAATTCGTTATTTTTATTGTTTTTTGTTATTATCATTGTGCCCCCGGATTACACTATATGATACACGGGCCGGCGCTGGATGCGTTTAATTGCCTCGGACGGTTTAGAGTGCAACATAAATTATAAGATTAAGGTAAGAGCAGTCAGCCTGAATGTTTATGAAGCGCCGTAACTCTTACCAGCTTGTGTAAGGAAATCATTTTTACATATTCCTTATTATTTATTATTCAATTATGTCCGTGTATGGTAGGTTTTATTTATTTAATTTAATACGTGAGCAGATTTAATCGAATCGAAACAGTCTTTGCTAATAATTTCATGTCTTTAGAAATATAATAATACGAGCTGTCACCCGCGATTTCGTCCGCGCGGAACTAAGGAAAAACTTAATTAGTAGCTTATGTGTTCTTGCAGTCAATGTTCTATGTCTATGCCAAATTTTCGCGAGATTCGTACAGCTGTTATGGCCTGGTTATGGTATGGTTATGACCTTTTGACAAACATCCATCCATCTAATCTTTCGTATTTATATAATATTAGATAGATATATGTAATACATGTGGAAACAAAAAACTACCTTCTTAATAACTTATGCAGGAACGTATACTGATCACATCAAACCACTCGTTACATTTATATGAAAAGTGAACATGTTGAAGTTAGTTGTAGCAAACATATGTAACATCAGCACCGAGGCTTGTTTAACAACAAAAAGTTAATCCTAACAATAAGCGAGTGTCGGCAACGGATTCAAACAGTTCCCCGCTACCCGCTACCCCGCGGCACACGCTACCTCTACCCCGCGACCCCTCTACCCCCGCTACCCGCACGCTCTGCACGTAATGTGAACCATCTAATTAGCAACTTCTCTACATTTGCCCGGATTAGTTACGTATCCTAATTAATTTTTGTTATGCATATTTTTTATTAACTTTACGTGAATGTAACCAATGTAATGTTTAGTTTAGTTTTTATGCATTTAAATATTAAAGTTTATTTCTTCAGTTACATAATAATAAATTATGGTATGTCTATTCAAAAGGAATAAATGTGATTAAAAATAAAATAAATTATATTTCTACGTATTTGGAACATAACTCTTATTCTGTTTTACAATCCAAACATAACCTTACTAATTATTTCGAAACGCACAAAACAACATACATATACTTATGTAATTAACAACATCACATACACTCATCGCCAGTTAGAAGTGACGGCGACCGACGGCGACGCGTGCGTTTTAGTTCATCTGTATTTATTAACGCGTCGTTTCTGTGAAATACTGATTTAATTAACAAGTTCAACTTAAGCCATTCAGTATACGATTCAACACGCATACCGAAATTTCGAGTCGAGGAACTGTTATGTTTCCTAACTTCAATTGAATTTATTAATTTAAATACGGATATGAATGTGGAATGAGTGAAATATTGTGAGAGTCTTGGAAATCAATTTAAGGGAAATGTTTGGTATAAATTTTATAAATATAAACTTTAGTTTTTATTACTTTACAAGCGCCTATAGGAAAAAATCTGCAAAACGATTAGTCCGTAAATTGTCCGATCAAATTATTCTAGCACTATTTGACATAACAAAAAAAAATTAAAAATTATACTTATTTACACCGCTAACTGTATACATAATTGGAAATATTTTATCTACTAACAATATAGAATTATCTGGACTTGTTCTTAGTATTAAATTAATATGTTTACAATGTCGACAAACAAAACGTTCGATAGCAATCAATGGTATCTTTATCCGATTACCCTCTATTTTTGTTCTCACGCTAACTCATTAGTAAATTACATTCAAAACGGGACAAACACATCTTTCCTCGAATACTATTACGATTGCGAGCAAACAAACGAAAGAGACAACGATATTTATCTATATTATATAACATCAACAATTTGGTAACAGTCAATTACGAACTTTTGCACCGACAAGTTATTTTATAATCTAACCAAAGTGTTAAAATGAGTGGATTATTCGATGTCGACGACATTTTATCCGACCACGAAGAATGGCTGAAACTGGACGAAGAATGGGGCAAACCAATAGACCTAGATACTGAAGACGATCAACCGCCGTATCTCAAGTCAATGTTCAGTACTTTAGATTTGAAGAAGACAACATTCGATTCATCATTTCTCTTCAAAAAGGTAAGAAGGAAAATTGGAAGACAGCTATCGAAAAGATCAACCAATTCCTGTCTGGATTACAAAGACTTTTTGAATGATTTGCAAAACAATAGATCGAGGGAATCTACGAAGCAATTTTACTTCGTCAATGGACAAATAATGTCAGCTGGTTCGGTTGAAGAGATATGCGACAAGATAGACGATTATTTCAAATCGATTGAGAAGTTAACAGTGACTAGTACGATACGTAAGAGTGATATTCCTGAAGTTGTCAAATGCAGTATGTCTAGTGGTGATTTCTCTTTTGATGATACGGTTCTAAAATCGAATATAGAGAAATGTGACAGTGAAGACATAAGCAGATTCATAGACCAGGCATTTAATGATTTTAATTCTTCAATCGCTTCTATTGAAGACGTTGATGATACGACGAGAGAATCGGTTACAACGTTAGTGAGGAAATTTAGTATTGTTTTGAACAGGCCTTCAATGTATTGCAGTCCGAGGCGACAACGACAGTGCTGTGAGAAGTTTAGAGATTTAGCTGAGTTCTGGAAGAAGCGAACTCTGGAACATAATTGATTTTATATAAAGGTTAGGTAGTTCTATATTTAAAAATTAATTAAAATACCTAATTGCATGTAGATATTTAATTAATTTAAGATAGTCCACTTTTGTTTTGTATAATGTAATGCATGCTAGTACTATTTGTACATAAGTTATATTAAAAAATCATTAATAAATGTTGTTTAACTGTCTTTGATTAAAATTTTAATAAAACATATAATAACACTAGTAATTATTGTTAAATTATAAAATTCTTAATTGTTTTTGTGAATTAAAGGAATTAATAAACTTCATGCGTTTTTATTTATCTCACAAATTATTTAATAATAATTTGATTTCTTCTTGTGCTTAGGAACTTTGTCAAATAACATTTATAGTCTCACTGGCTCATTCAGAATAGATTAAGGAACAACAGTGTACATTTTTTAATTTATAGGACGCCCTTAGTAAACCACACCTAGTGATGTTAAGCGTTCCTTAGTCAACTTTTCTCGTTATAAAATCTATGATGCTTGTTTCTGGCATGGGCGTGGCTTACATATTTTAGTTAATTACCTGGAAAGCGCATAACAAATATAAATTCATGGTTCATTAAGCGAGCAGCGGTACTGTAGGAGCAGTAGGACAACGGCCAAGTTGCCCGCTAAATCACTGGCCATCGTCTGCGGACCACGGCCATAGAACTTACGGGTTGATATCACGCAAAACATGGATGAAAGAACTAAGAAAGAGCTGTTATTAAATTAGAAACAAAAGGATTATGTAGATGGAATCAAATTAAACTATAAAATAAAATCGATTTGAATTCATTATGGCTAAGAATATGATCTTAATGTATTTTAAAATTAGAACCTGAACCCAATCTAATAATAAATAAAGACGAAATTTAAATATGGAACAATAAAACAAATGAATTTTTTTAAATATAAAGCAGGTCGATAGTAATATATAATCCCGTATGTTCTTATCATTTTGGCGCACTGACCGTAAGCAGAAACTTATTCCAGTTGCTCATGAGAGTTGGACACTTTGTCAATTTATGAGGCGGCATGAGACGGGCATAGTGGAGTTCTCTACAGGCACATTTTGTTAATTGACTACCAAGAGGGCGATACATGCTTAATTTGCCAGCTTTAATCAAGCTAGTAAGACCCCAGATGTTCTGATTGAGATGAGGTCTGTAAATATTTGTTTGGAATCATAAAACATGAGGATTTTTAATTTCGAAATTGTTTTGTAAGACAACTTCAAGATAAGACATCAACGCGCATATCTGATAATATTTTTGTTAAAAGATAACTTAATAGGAGCTTAACTCCTCAACAATTCAAGTCAACAGTTACTTAACGTTGACAAAAAAATGTAGATTACATTAAGCTAAGTAAGAAAGGCATGTCTTGGCAAAATTAGATGATACGAGTATTAACTTCCTAATTCTGTTGTTCAATACAGTCATTATGTTGCTCAAAATCTCATATCACAGATCCTGGCGGCCAATTAGTTGTCAACGAGGTGCATGTAATCAAATGGCATACGTTGCGGTCAGCCCTCGCCGCACGGTGTAAACTTCTGCTACTAGATGGCGCTGGTCGATGCTCAATAACCAAGTTGCAAGCCAATGTAATAAGGTTACCAGTTCACTTTACTTGTAAATCAACAACAAAGGGGATTTTTTTCTTCAATACTTTAAAGGTTTTTAAGGCTTATTAATTCTTAAGTCACCTTCTCATTTTTTCATTAAAGATGTTATTTGTCATTTGAGTAATTAATAAAATTTACAAGATTGGGGGAAGGAAACTTGTCTCCTGCGTTGTGAAAAAATTGTGTTTCCATTAGTGAGGTCGACCCGCGGCCGCGCTCTTAATCAATTTGGACAAAATCGCCGGACTGAAGTGTTTTTTAATTAATTTTATGAGTGAACAACGCAACATGACAGTAAACGAATGGAGTCGGACATATTATAAAAACATTATTTTACCTTTATTAAACACCGACATAAATCCGGAAACAGAATTATTCATATAAAGATATAAGATGCCAAACGTTACAGAGTATAAAGGCATGTCCACACGACGCGCTGTCCTCGCGACGCCGCGCCACGTCCACGCACTAATTCAATATGGCCGATGTAAGCCATTTGCGTTCGCGCTTGACATATCGCCCGTGAACAAAATCAATTATGATTTTTTGATAGCGGCGGGGCGGCTGACTGATTGATGTGGAAAAACACTAAGCACTTTTCACCTGAAATTTATCCATTGCTTGAATCTTCAAATAATTGAGCAGACAGTTTTACATCGTTTTCATGACTCAAAAATAATTGAACACAATATATTAAATTATTTTCGGTATGGTTTTTTATCTCTAAAAATGTATACAAATTCAGTATTTGCTGTATTTACGAACGTACATATTTTAAACTATTTTAAGAAAGGGCATCTTCTTTTAAGTATAGTACGGTAACCATTAATGTTAGGGTTTTAAATATTATAATTTTGATATTTTATCTACATAGTAAAAGACCCTTACCCCAGTTTTCAATCTTACCCACTTAACTAAGTTAAACCGCTAACAACACAAACGACTGTAACTATAACGACATCGCTGCGTGTCATAAATTATTCCGAATGGCTATTAAGATGCAAGCAGGTGCAGTTTATGCGCGCGCGCAGATCATGCAAACAAGTCGTGTGGCGTTGCCCTTTTCTAGAGATTTTGATAGATGATATTTTATTAAATTAAATAAAGGATATAAAATGCAAACTGTTTCGTCATTTAACCACAGTTATTGAAAAAAATGTCTGTCGGTTTTTGTAGTATTTACGAATAACACACCCCATTAAGAATAGTATAATTAAGTTGTAAATTAGTTTAGTTCCAATAGTGAATAATTAGTGTGAAATTATTTAACCTATATCAGAGATTATTATTTAATATTAAATAAAAGATCTTAAGGTTTTAACCTTGCCAAAGGTAGTTAATATTATAACGGTTACCATTTACAACACTTGCACACGGTTTCGCTACGTCAAGTTAAAAGCAATATTCATTAAACGCTATCAACGCACGTTAATATCTGAGACACTTAAATCACGTTCGCCCCAAAGCGGCTCATAACAACTGACATATTTATCCCTAAAATTAACTGAACGACGTCGTATTTAACCTTCCTAACGCAAACTAAAGCGTCAGACGCGCTAACCTTCAGTACTTAACCTCTCGACAGCCGAGCGGGACACGCCCACAAATTAATCTGCTTACGGATGGTTAATGCTCACATCACCTGGACTACGCCACCCCGCTGGCCCATTGCTTTAAGTCCGGACTGTTGCTAGATATGGCATCAGCATAGTTAACGTAACTAGAAATATTTTTGAAGTTTTTAACATTCCTGGTAAATCTCAATCTTACCTGAAAATTGAACTATTTATTTAAATCCCTCATATGATCTTAAATTTAATTTAAAATGTGGTACTTTAAATGCACATATCAAACTTATGTGGATCCCTGTAGTATGGTATTTGTTCTAAAAAATATACAAGAAGATCCACTTGTTGACAATTTGGCAATACTAACATTATTAATATTTTGAAAATGTCACATCTAGAAATCTGAATAGCATTGACATGGCAATACATGCTGACAGTGGATCGGTAAGAACATGGAGAGGAATTAGACTTTGTCGGAGCAAGGTACCGCGTTCGACCGGATTAGTTGGACCCGTGTTTATCTATTTATTTGTTCAAACATTCAACCATCGAGCATAATGTGAATTTAATATAATAGGTTTATGATTAAAAACAATTTGTGCTGCTACACTAAGACGTTTGTTTCCTACCAATTTTGATGTTCATTTGTTTAAAATGGAATTAGATTTATTTGTCACAGCAACATACGTATTTAATCATGGCTCTTATGGTGAAAGTTTGTCAAACAATATTAGATCCTAAGTGGGAAGCGAATTTAATTCTTTGACTGTACACGGACAGCTTCAAGCTTAAGCTGTAAAGTGCTTAGTCTGTGTATGTGTCATATTTTTGTACTTGCATTTAATTAAGTACGAAGCTATTCGGGTAATTGAACAGAATAACTGATATATTTTCCGAGGAAGTTTCCATATATTGAATAATATCTAAATTGCGGTGCAGCGCTAAATATCTCACGTTTTAATTTATGTGGCAAGTTGCGCAGTTTGTCGTCTGTTGCACCATGCAGGGACCAAGTTTCGATACAATGGGACCATAAATTGATAAGCCAACGTTTGCTGGACGTGTGATATATTGGTATTAGATGTTTGCGCTGGCGTTTGTCCGCAATTACTGAAGCCTTTCATTCTTATATTTTTACTATTTGGAACTTTAATTTGTCTTATTACATGACTTTTTGTAATCATAATAAATTGTTTTGCTGTAGTAACTTCCTCACGTTGTAAAAAACATTATTTTTTCATGTCATTGATCGAATCGTGGTGAGACTAGACTAGACGTAATTTTAACTGCGCCTATATATATACTAGATCAGGTAGAAAAGGGTATTATTGGGTACTACTCTTGCTGACATAGTTAAAATTAGTTTAGCAGTTGTTTAACATAAAGTGGTGCCTGTTATCAGGGTTGCACATTACGCGAACGCCCGCGTCGAGCGGCCGTATATTAGCGGCATCATTACACTGAGCCGTGGCCATTAACGCGGTAAAGTTATCAAAATTCAACGCTTATCTTGCGAGGTATCAGCGCGCACGAGCCGCTCGGGACTGCGTTAGGACATGTTTATGCGCGCTCCGTCCCCGCCCTCGCCCCTCGGACACAATTACACCCGTTTTTCATTTTCTAATTATAAATGCAACGCGTGCGTCCGCGTATCACTTTTTAGTTATTTATTAGTTTGCATATTGCACTACGGTCTAATAAACGCACACAGAAAGGAATAGATAGTACGCGTATAATATGTATTATATTAAAAATATTAGCTTTAGGTACAGTAATCTAACACAAGTGCGTGTGTCCGTATTCGTAAGAGAACGTCTATAAAACGCGAAGC